AGGACTTGATTAGCTTATTAATTATTCAGCCTGAATGCCACATAGGCTAATTAGTTTTTAAGGTCAACACACATGCTTACTGATAAGGAAATGGGGAAAGGACATAGATAGATAAGGTGTGAAATTAAAACCGAATTTTTAGGTTAAAATCCTACCGAAGGCGAATTTGAATTACATTATTGCTAGCCTATTTTGAGACTTAACCCGCCATACAACCCCATTAGTGTAAATACTATCGTTTTTTCAACAATAAAAAAATTTGGATGAACTTATAAAAGAAAGTTAACAACAGATGTGCTCTTTATCTTATTCTTACAATAACAAAAACCCATAGTTACTCTATTGCTCAATAACTCATCATAATGGGACACGTTACCTACAGAATTATTTTCCAATATACATGTGCCAGTGTGCCAAGAAAATACGCCATGCAACCAGCAGAAAAGAGAATTAAGTATAAAACCGAAAGAAGCATATGTATGATGTAACTTAACCTTTTTCATCAATATTAAAATGGAGGCAGATTGTCTGCCCTCCTGTTTGGGTGCCCTTCCCATCTCCTCCTATTTGTGCGGTCACGGTTAAGTCACGTCAACATTTTATATTCTTATTGCTTTTTGTTTTTTTATCTCTATAAAAAAAAATCAATATAAAATGTTGATGTGGCTTAACCGTGACCGCACAAAATAAGAGAGGATGGGAAGGGCACCCAAACAAGAGGGCAAACAATCTGCCTCCTATTAGAATGGTCCTCCTCAAAATCATGTTTACTATACAATACAGAAAAATATTCTCAATGAAAATTTAGTAACACTATATTCATTTTTTTTTTCCTTCTAAAAACGATATTATCTACTTTATAGGGGAGGGATGGGCTTAGCCTCATAATGTGCTAACAATAATGTGGTTCAAAACGAAAATCGAACTTAAGACCTCTTACTTACAAAAAAAATATTAAGAAATACCTCTAAACCGTAATATTATGTGATACATTTTTTTAACTACAATACAAAACTACATTTAACCGTTGTACAATTTGTGGGGACAGAATGGACATATATCCCACTGAATGAGACAAGAACAAAATATTTGAGAGCAAATAAAGTCAACTAGACTGGAATTACCGTGCCATGGGATCCAAGCTCCTGTGGTGCACATGTTAGGAAATTGGCATTATAGTGAGTTTGAGAAAACTACATAGTGTCACAGCCAAAAAAATAGGGTTTTTCCTACAATTTTTTACTCGATGAATAAAATTTTGTCGGGTAAAGGGACTTTTATCCGATGGCTATTTTAGTTGGTAGGGCAAAAATGATCAGTATTTAGGGTTACTCAAAATCTTTACGCGACGGAAGGCTATCGGAGGGCAAGTCACAAATCATCAAGCAAAATTTTAGTACGAAGGGAAAAATTGTACGCAATATCTGAAGGTTTGCGCGATGAATCATGTCTTCGTCAGCTAGGTTCGCTTTGCCCAACAACAATGTCTATCAACTAAGTTCTACTGTTGGTGGTCAAATCCTCTGGCTATTGTTGTAGTAAGGTTTTTTAATTAATGTAGATGTGTGAAGAAAATATAAAAAAAAGTGTATACAATGCTCGTAATGAGAAGCTCTACAACTTTGTGAAGATGTCAACTCCGAAATTCACCACCATAATCTCATAAATCATAGATTTAAATTTAACTATTGATTGTAATTTACACTTACGCTCCATTCTTCTTACCAAATTTTGTTTTTTCAAATTTTGTTTTTTGAAAACATGTTCTTTTAGCAGATGCAAAAAGATGAACGGTTCGGATTATTGATATCACGTTCAAATTTTTAAAGTTAGTGTAAATATTGCTCGGATGTTATAAAGTCTCTAGAAAGTATATAACATCAACTCATATTTAATTCGTCATAAACATCGGAACGTGATATCAACAGTCCGACTGTTCATTTTTCTAACATTCGTTAAAAGATCATGTTTACAAAACATAAAATCTAAAAAATGAAATACAGTGAGAAGAATATAGTGTAAACGACAATTGACAATTAAATATAAGAGATTATGGATTATGGTCTAATTTCAGAGTTGATTGTATATGTTTTTACATTTTTCACACTTCTACATTAATTATTATGAATTTTTATTAATTTTGCACACAACAATAAACTCTATTTATGAAGGTTTGGAGAGTTTTAAAAATCTAAATGACAATATAACCATCGTGTAAGCGTAAAGGATGCAACCACATGCATTTGTATTCTTTTCACATTTTTCAAATTATTATTATGAATTTTTATTTTGAACTCCCCCTAAAAACACTGTTCACAAGGGTTTGTAGGGTTTTAAAATCCAAACGACGATGTTCCCATCACTCAAGTGTAGAGGATACGATCACGAGTGTTTGCATAGTTTTTTTCACATTTTTTCACACTTGTAAATTAATTATTTTGAATTTTTAATGTGCTTTCATATTTTTAAAGTGCTTTGGTATTTTTAATGTGCTTTGAAATTTTGTAATCTCACTTATGTGAGATCAAATACTTGGCTATTGTAGTAAGATTTTTTGGTAGTTTAAAATTATCAAACTAACTTTTTTCTTATTGGGTTGAAATGGGATACTCATAGGTAAACCTGTTAAGAATCCATTATGTGACCTTGTTTGAATTCATTTCTAAAGCATAGTGTAGCGCAAATCTCAATATCCAATTATAAAACTAGACCAGTATCATATAGTTCCAGCTTTACTAGCGTTGGATGTTGAAATCATCGGCCTTGTTTTCTTTGTTTCTTGAGCTTCGTTCTGGCCCTTTTCTTCACATAGGGAAATAGGATGAAACTAATATTGCTACGAAACGCTCAAGCCTATTCTCTTAGCATGCCAACTATATGGTGAGAGCCCGTATTTTATATTATATTAATGGGTTTTCTTTATATTTATGTCAAATAGGGTTGCATATGTGATAACAAAAGGAAATAGTGGCGTGTATTTGAAATGATGGACACACAATTTTCTAGTTACTTGGAGAACACTCTCTATAGCTAGACTTGTCATGCATTCGGTGTTAACTATATCTTGTATTAGATATATTTGAGGTGCACTCTTTGAAGGAGGTGTCATAAGTTTTACCTACACTGGACAAGGGTGTGTGCCTAGTGTTTTAACTAGTAGGTGCTGTCAATATAAGGGAAAAACCTATCCTAATTTGGAACCCTAATATTATGAGGGCAAAAGGTGCTCTTTCATTAGTATAGTTTTCTTACTGTTGGAAGCTACACCCTAACGTGGCACACCAAGGTTTATAGCCATCTACGTGTATATCTTACATTGAGGTTTTAAGGTGCTTGTGAGCACTCTTCGCGTAAAGGAAGATGGCAGGTGTTCGTTCATATTGCATGACGCCTTTTGCATGCATTTACTTGACCACCACGTAGTAGATTCGAAGATCATCTAATTCTTTGCCGCCTTAGGTGTCACTGGAACCTTTCCAACCATTTGATCACATCCGCCTTGACAGCCGATTAATCTCCTGTAAATAGGAGCAGGCTCCATTGGTTTACATCATGCAAAAGAACGACAGCATGCAGTGCATGCAATATGGTTCTCCTAGGGTGGGAGAGAGATTAGGAAAAGAAACAGAGCTAGGGTTTGAGGGTTTGAAGTGTGTGAAGATGTTAGTTGGGTTGTCTTGCCAAAGTTCAGAATATCAAGGTGAGTGGTTTATTTCAAAATGTTCTTATTTTCGATAAATGAAAACTACGAATTATTGTGGGTTTTATTTAATTTTTAAATATCTCTCTATTTCAAGCCAAGCATGTTGAATTTGGTGGAAATACTTTTGGAGTTATTATATATGGTGATATGTGGTTCATTTGGAAATGTTTAAGAGCATGAGAACTTTAGTGTTGCATTAATATGAGGATAAATGTAAAATGCACACAAGGACATTAGGGCGAAATGGCCATTAGGGTTCACGTGGTGAGTTACATTTGATGAAGAATACAATGGACACATAAAGAGATGATGTGATATGAAATTATTTGTGGTTAAAGCTTTTGATCTATGTATGATATATATTTTCTAGCGTTTGTAAACGACATCGCTTGACTTGCATACTGCATATTCTAGTCACAGGGCAACGGTAGTTGTTGCTCACCCCTCATCTTTTTATTTTACAGATGAGTTATTTGACAAGATAATTGTTAGACAAGCTGAGATTGTATTAGACGAAAGATTTAAGAGTTTTTATTATTTTGTACACCCTGTAAAGCTTTTGTAGTTATTTTTATAAGAGAAATTTTGTTTTTCTTATTTATTATTTTTACTTTACGGGTATATTCGTTTGGTATTGGGTCGACCATCGAAGTAGTTGCGTCATAGCTGAAGGCTTAGTAACCCCCATCCCATTGTTGGCCAAGGCATCTAGTCTCCCTATTGGATGCTTTTACCAGTTGTCTTAGCATCTGCAATGTGGTATATTAAATAGACTAGTAAATAGACCTCCCCAACTCGCTCGTAATGTGTGATCCGATTAGTTAATGTGTTAATCCGAAATTTGTTATTTTTGTATCATTTCAAGTCGGGTTACCAATTCGTCTAAGAAATTAGAAGAAAAGAAAAACTCTGCCGCCAAAGATTCCAACGCCATTCTGTTCTTAATCTTATTTCCGAGTTTTATATTTAGATTAGCTGCCCAGATATTGTCCAAGCCTGAAACCTCTGTTGTTTGTCCGTCCAAGCCTCGGCAACATTTTGAAAAAAAGCCCCATATGGAGGAAATTAGCCCAACCCCATAAGTTTGGCCCAAATATATGAACCAACTTTCAGTCTTGGGATAAATAAACCCTCGGCTAACAGTATCCAGTCCTAGCGGAGGTCAAACTCGGTTGACCGAAGGCCATTTTCCCATTAGCAGCGAGCGAGAGGAGAGATAGAAACCAAAGGAAACACAAACACCCCAACTCTCTGATTTCCTCCGCCCGATTTCCAGTACTCTCCGCCGTAAAAAATCAGTTCTTTCGAGAAACCCACCTCGCAATGTCCGCTGGATTGATTTCCCAGTTCAAGGAAGCGACACAAACGGCAAGGGCCACGCTCCGGCCATGGGGTGAGCTCCTGGAGCCCACCTCACTCAGCCTCCCCTCCAGTCTATCTGACGCGACGACCCGACTCGCCCAGAACTTGACCCACTTCCGCTCCAACTACGCCCTGATCGCCCTGATCGTTCTCTTCCTCAGCCTCCTCTACCACCCGTTCTCCATCATCGTCTTCTTGATTGTCTTCGCCGCGTGGCTCGTGCTCTACTTCTCGCGTGACCAGCCCCTCGAGGTGTTCGGGTTTGTGGTCCCGGACCGAGTCGTGATGGTTGTTCTTGCGGTGGTGACGGTGGTGGCTCTGGTCCTGACTCACGTGTGGGTCAACGTCGTCGTTTCGGGGGTGATTGGGGTCGTTTTGATTGGGCTGCATGCGGTGTTTAGGGGGACGGAGGATCTTGTTATGGACGATCAGGAATCGCCGTATGGGGCTCTGCTCTCGGATGATGCTGACCCAAGTGGGAATTACACCATTATGTGACTGTTTCTCTCCAAATTTTATAAGGTGGGTCGGATTTTGGTTTCCCTTTTTCTTCTAGGTTTTGTTGAAATTCAATTTCGAAATTTTGTTGGGTTTGGTTGGAATTTTGGGTTTTGATTGCTCACAAGAGGGAAGTGTAGGGCTTTAGTTGATATCCTGAATTTGATTACTTCATTGTTATTTGCGCTACTCATCTGTTTTCGGAATTTAATTTCGAGTTTATGGTAATTCTTCATTGACTGTATCAAATGTGATTTGCCTCCATTCATGCATTCCCAGTTGCAGAAAATTGCATTGTTGCAGTTGGCATAATGTGTGGCATGATGATACCTTATACCGCATTCATACTGCTATGCTGATATGTGTGTCAGTGGCATATAAATCGTGCACAGAATATGTAAACATGTTCTTCGTAGTACTTATGCAGCCTTTTCGTGCAACTTTATAGTTTTCTGATTGCATCAAAACATTCGGAACGTTGTTTATTTAAGTTGAACATATACCCATAGTTGGAAAATTTTATGTATGAATAATTTACAAACATTTACCTTTCTGTCAACAGTGTCTTTAAAGAATGGGCCCTATTTGAAGATTGTGTGATTTTACTCACTATGTACCCCTTATAACTCTTTGCATGTCCTTAGTTCAAATCTTGGTTTGCTACATAGCATTGAAGTTCCTAATCATGTGAACGTTTGGTGGTGCAATAGCAAATATACCTTAGCAACTTGTTTCTGGCTATTATTAGTTATACCTGTTATTTCTAGGAGTGCAGTTTGATTTGATCATTTTCATATCTTACTTTCTGACCATACCTCCACAATTGTCAAATAATTTTTTCGTTTTCCATTTTGGGGTGAATACTGAATAGTAGTTCAACATTTTGCCGTATAGATTGTCAACGTTGTATGAAGATAAAATCAACATCCATCCTACCAATTCATGTCACAATATTTGGTGTCATATGTCGAAACTAGCAGATGTTTGATAATCTGACTCAGCACGATCCATTGAATTTTTTTTTTTCCTTTGAGTCCTTTGTCCACTTTCATTTTGTAAATTAGAGTTTCTGTCTCGGGGAAATGTATCTTGCATAATTTCTTTTCCTTTGGTGTATTGTGGTAGCCATTTACCAAATAGAGTAACATTGCAGCACTTGGGAATTAATTTGTCTATGCCGTATGCTTTATCACACATACGTGGGACCGTGACATGATTATAAATATGAAAATCCTCTATCAAGAGTTGTCAGGATTGAATTGAGCTGTATGATTTTTACCCAAACTTGCATTTTTTTTCTGTTCTGATATTGACCCGAGTCTATTTTGTGCATATGACGTTGTGACGACGTATGTAACAGCAGTTCTTGTTTGAACGTTTTATGTCAAGTGTTGGCTCCCGATGAACTGGAGATGGTGCTAATGCATTTTTGCTTGTTTTATATGTATTTCCCATGTATGCAATGCAGATGGTAGCATTTCTTCGTTCTTCGATCAGGTACCTGTGTCTCAGACAAGCCTCCGATGGGGGTCAACCTCTAACCAACATATCCAGTTGTGATGTCGTTCTTCCTTCAGAAGTCTGAAATTGTGTATCCACCACCGTAGTTGATGTTCGGCACTTCTTCCCGGTTCAAATCACATTTTTTGGGGTTGTATATACCATTGTTTTCTCATGGTAAATCATGGGTCGCATTGTCGGACCGTGCCATCGTGGAATACATTGGAACCTTGCAAATTGTGAAAGTTTAACTGCAAATTTTTGTAGTAATCGTTTATGTATGCTGTGGTGATGCCTTTTCGTTTTCATACGTATTGTAAGTGTATTTTATAGGAAACAACTTCTGACAATCTGCTTTATGTACTTGAGTCAAAATTAGAAATAAACCAAAAGGACTATTTTTATTACAAATAGTCCTTAAAATTGATTTACCCTAGTTGCTGAATTAGAAAATCAATTAATGTTATTCCTGAAATTTACCACTAAACATCAATGTCGTCCTTGCTGTTCAATTCTATTAAATTTTATGTTAGAATGTTGATATGGCACACGTGTAACCTCACCACTCCAATGATATGATGCCATGTGGATTTTACAAAAGAAGAACGAACCCAGCCGCTCCGCCATCCTAAACCCCAAGCAGCCCTCCATTTTGGCACTTTGAAAGCATTCGTGTCGCTTCTTGCTTTGTCATCTTCACTTTCACTCTAATCGTTTATTGTCATCTTCACATATACTTTAATCTTTTGCTTCTAAGAAAGAATCCAGCCGCATTATTTGTCAAAACCCCAGCCCATAATTTTTCATTTTCATTTCATCTCTCTCTGCGATTTCTCTCCTGTATTTGTTCGACGGCACAAGAGTTATTGAGGTTAGAGGTAGGTGATTATGAAATCAGATTAGCCACCAGAGCTTTGGCACCTTCCATGATTTCTGACTGGCTTCCTATTTCTACAAACCCGGGAACGAAGACGAGAGATAAAACATCTGAAATGCAAGATCGATTCGTCCATCTCGATTGTTGGAATCTTTGAATCGCCCGGGCCCAACGCACTCTAACGACACCGATACTGTTTCCAACTTTACCACCTGCCCAATCCGTCAAGTGTGAGATTTTACTACAAAAAGTCTCGGTGTTAGTTAGAGTGGTTTAATACTAATTAAACCCCTTGGTTTCTTTTCACCCCATCGATGTGAGACTTTAACACTCCCCCTCACGTGTAACCTCATTTAGTGGTTCACACGTAGAGATCCATATCGGTAATTGAAACTCAGATGTCAGCTCACGTTTGGTTCACTTGTTGTCAATTGGAACTCAGTGGTCGTTTATATATTAAGAGTTCAGACTTGTTTCCTTCCCGGTGGTGACAAGCTCATTAGCTTTCACACAAGCTCGTTGGCTTGCACGGGCTCGCAACTGTGGGCTCTGATACCATGTTGGAATTTTGGATCGCCGGGCCCGCCCCACTCTAACGACACCGATACTGTTCTCAACTTTACCATCTGTCCAATCCGTCAGGTGTGAGATTTTACCATAAAAGACCTCATTATTAGTTAGAGTTGGGTAATACTATTTAAACCCCTTGGTTTCTTTTCACCCCACTGCTGTGGGACTTTAACATCAATTTGTTTCTGTATAATTAAAAACTTGAAAAATAAAAATGGAAAAAAATGGAGAAGAAGATGAATAGCTAGGGTGGGAGTGTAGACCATCTCTAACTGATCCAGTTAGAGGGCTATAGGGCTAAAAATAGTCTAAAATGACATAAAATGAAATTGAATGAATTGAATAAAGGTTCGGCCAGCCCTTGCGTAGAGATAATATAGAAATAGAATAAAATTCTAAACTTAATTACATTACTTTACTCGATTTTATTTAAAATGATATATTAAAATATATTTTCAAATTAAATTAAAATGAAATATATATATATATATATTTCTATATATAAAATATATATGATCCATATATAAAATATATATGAAATATAATAAAATTATGTAATAAAAAATAGTAAACATAAAATAGTAAAAAAAATCTTACCATCTAATTAAGCTAATTAAGATATTTAACTGAGGGCTAGGTCAAAGGGCTCATGAACCTCATCGGGCCAAAAATACCAAATCAAGCCAAACGACTGGCCCAATCTAGCCAACCAGCTCGGACCGGCCCAAACAATTCAAATTCAACGGCTACTTGGCGTTAACATGATGTTAGCTAGCAACAGCTAACTAATGTCATGCTGATGCTAGGTAGCCGTTGAATTTTTTTTTTTTTTTTGGGACAATTAAAATAATAATAATAATAATAATAAATTCTAATTTTTTTTTTTCCTATAACTACCTAAGCCATTAAATAACATTAAACAATATTAAACAACCTTAAATAACATTAAACTTAAACAACATTAAAGAACACAATATCCACCATAGTACCACTTGGGGAAGTTCTTCAAACTTAAACAACATTAAAAAAAAAAATTAACAACATAAAACTTTAATGTCTACTCTATGCTTCTTTTGGCCCAAAGATGTGCAACAAAATCATGTTGTAAGTACTTGTTTGTGGCGAAGGTTCTAAAAAACGCTAGGCGCTAGTTGGACGGCGGGCTAGCGCCTAGCACCTAGGTGGCTAGGCGGAGTCTAGGCGGGCGCCTAGGTGGTCTAGGTAGATTTAGGTAAATTTCTTTTATATCTTGTAAGTAAGTGCATATTGACACTTACAAAAAATTATACTTGTATGAAATTCATGAATACAATAATAAATAATAAATAATAAAATGCAAAACTAGTATCCAAAGTTCAAGATTTAAAAACACACATATATGTCATATTAGTTAAGATATTTTGAATGATTATATCTAATTTTCATAAAAATAAAATTAAAAATCCCATGTGTTGTGTGAAGAGGTGCATGCATCCTCCCCAATTTCAAAATGCATGTGGGGTGACCCTTACCCCCCATCCCTAGTCCCCATCCCTCACATCAGTCAAGAAACTCCCTTTTCATGCCTTGAAAATTGAAACATAAATAAATAATAGAATAAGATCAAAATAAATAATAGAATCGAAACTAAACATAAATAAATAATAATAATAGAATAAGATCAAAATAGCAAATTGCCACACGCTTGAGCGTGTGACAAGAGACTATATATATAAAGGAAGAAAGCAAAAAGAGTGAAGTTTTCATGAAAAAACCCATGTACTAAGTTTATTATTTTTTTAAAATTATATTAACATCCTACAAATTATTGAATAAACCTCACATACTTAATATACCCCACATTTGTTTTTTCAATTAAAAATTATCTTAATACACCCCACATCCTTCCCCATAATACTTTCACATCCCACATTCTTAATATACACCTTACATTTTCTACATGCACCCCATATTTTCTTTACACCTCACATTTTCAAATCTTATAAAGCTTTTAATTTGGACAAAAAATGCCGACTAGAATTTTGACAAAAGATACCGCCTGGAATTTAAAGCATATGTGGGTTGTTTTCAATTCCACCATTAAAACCCAAGTTGTCAGTTTTTAATATTTGGTGGTAATTTTAGGTGTTTAATTCTTCATGTAATCCATGTGATCCCTAAAAGATGAATACAAACATAGAAGCTTGAATAACGCATCAAAAGCAAGATTAAATAATTATCGATATCGTCAAAATCACTAAAACATTAAAAAATATGAAGTCTTACCTCATGTGAAGCTTCCAAAACATCGATTTCGTGTTTCATTCATCAAAAAAAATATTTCTTAATCAACATGTTTGTAGTTTCATTGGTTAGGATTTTGTTCAATAATAGAGGGTCGGAGAGGTTTTGATAGTTGAAAAGATAAATAATACGTAAAAAGTGATTTGGAGTGTATATAATTTTTTTTTTCTTTCTAAACCTAATAAGGTCAAAATTGCCATTGCATAGTAAGTTAAATAAGTTATTTAATACTAAATTTTAATGTGAGATGCGTTCAACATTTTCTAAAGTGCTAATATAAAAAACATTTTTTAAAATATATTTTAATAAAAATTAATAACAAGGAAATTTTAAAAACAAGGGTAAATATCAATTTACTACTCTCATGTTTCGTGGTTTTCAACATTTAGTTTATCAAGTTTTTTTCGTTCTAGAGTCATACCTAAGGTGTAAATTTTGGGACAGTCTTCTACATTCGTTAGTCAAACTGTTAAGTCTCCCGTTAACTGATGACGTGACGCCCATGTGGACAATGACTAGGAGCCACGTGCCAATAGGGGGCCCACTTCAATATTAAAAAATAAAAAATGAAAAATACAAAACCACCCCCCCCCCCCCCCCCGGGTCTCCTTCCTTCCCTATCCCCCTCCCTCCCTTCCTTCCTTTGCAACCCGCACCTTCCTCCCCTCCCTCTCTCCTTTGTAACCTACAACACCTTCACCATTCCTCTCCCAAGCCCCACGAGACTAGAATCGCCCCCGACCCTCCTCCTTTTCACTACCGAGAAGCAATCAAAAACCAAAACAATAAAATTCAAAACTTTCCCATAAAAGGAAATTTCTCAAAAATCCCATCTTACGGAATCAGTACTTCCGAAACACGAGATGGTAGAGAGAATGCTACTGAAGAAGAGCCTACTGCATCAGAGCTTGTTGCTGCTGCTGCTTTAGCATCTGGTGCTGCATTTCCTCCGTGATTCTCTGAGAAAGTCGAGGTTTTGCCAAGAAATTTAAGGGTTAGGGTTCGAGCAAAGGGCCTCAGAAAGAGAAGAAAAATTATGGGTCTCGGGTTTGCGAAATTGTTGGACGAAAATGGAAAATGGCATTGTCTCCAGGGTTGAGGGAGATTCTAATCTTGCGGGGCTCGAGGATGGGTCGGTTGTGGACCGCCAACGACGAGGGTTGGGTTGCAGGAAAAGGAGGAGGAGGAAGAAGAAGAGGGTGGGGGTTAGGAAAGGAATGGTGGAGGTGTTGCGGGTTACCGAGGAGAGATGGAAGGAAGAGAGGTGTAGGTTGCAGAGGAATGAAGGGAGGGAAGGAGGGGAATGGGGGAGGTAGGAGACCCCCGCGGGGGGGGGGGGGGGGGGGGGGGGGGGATATTTTTAATTTTAATTTTTTGTATTTTTAATTTTTAATTTTTTTAATATTCAAGTGGCCCTCTATTAACACGTGGCGCCTAGTCATTATCCATATGGACGCCATGTTATCAGTTAACGAGAGATTTAACAGTTTGACTAACGGATGTATAAGACTGTCCCAAAATTTACATTCAGGTATGACTCTGGAATGAAAAAAAATTTGATGTACTAAATATTGAAAATCATGAAATATAAGGGTAGTAAACTAATATTTATCCTAAAAACAATACATACATTTTATCAAATAAAAAAATAAAAAATAAAAAATCTGAAAACGGAAAAGCATTTCAAATAGTTTCTACAATTTCCCTCCTTTCTTCTCTCAGACTCAGAGAAACAATGGAGCCCTTAGCTCTCAACCTGAAAATGCTCCGAGGCCCGGGGTTTCATAATTGGAACGGCGACACCCGAAACTTCCGACCCGGATCCAAGGTCCGAATCGGCCGCGACGGTCGCTGCAACAACATCCCGATCAAAGACTCCGGCATTTCTTCCAAGCACCTCTCCATCGAGTCCGAATCGGGCAAATGGGTGCTCCGAGACCTCGAATCCTCAAACGGAACCCTTTTGAATGGCACCAATGTCCCCCCAAACACGCCGCTGGATCTCAGCCACGGCGACGAAATCAAAATCGGCGAGTGCACTTCCATTGAGGTTAAGATCGATGGCTACGAAGAGAGCCGGCTGAGACGGAATCCGAGGCGTGTCGAGGAAATTGAGGTCAAGGGGAATCAGAAGAGGGGTCGACCGCCCAAAGCTAGGGTTTTGAAGAGGGAGGTTGCGGAGGAGAAGCCTGTGGAGGAAAAATTGACACGGCAAGTGAGGGTGAGGCAAACTCGGATCTCGAAGAATGAGGAATTGGGGAAGATTGCAGAGAGCTCTTGTGTAGACACTGAAGGATTGCCGAAAAGGACACGTGGCGGTGTGAGGAGGGGGAAGAATGCACCAAAAGAGCAACCGGTGTGCGATAAACTTGGCAATGAAGCTTCAAAAGCGGTGAAATTGGAGGAAGAGAGACATGAGGAGGCGGATAGAGAGTTCAACGTTGGAGGAGAGAGTGGTGGAAAAGGTGAAAGTGGAAGTGGGAATGGCGAAAAGGTTGAAAATGGAAGCGGGAGTGGCATTAAGGGCTACAATGGAAGTGGGAGTGGTTTGGGTGTTAATGTGAGCTGTGACTTGGAGAAGATGACGCTCGGGGAGTGGTTTGAGTTTTTGGAGAGGCATTTGCCAAAACAGATCATTGGTGAGACGGAGGAGGCACTTGTGGAAATGACAGAGAAAGCAAAGCGAATTCGGGAGCACATTGCGCAGGAGAAGAAGTGAATGTGCTCGTGGTCTAAACGGGATAAGATGGGAGGATTAGCGCCTTGTGTTCTGTGGTAATTTTGCAGCTCAATTCCTCTGTATTCGTATGAATTACGTGGCGTATGAAATTTGTACTGTGTACTTTCATCACGTATATGTCGTTTCATATTCATGCTAAAGTTAGTCTTGATTTTGAAGTCTTAGATATGATATTAAAGACCAATCCATTGAATTTTAGGGATATGAGATGAGATAAAACTAATTTTATTTCTGTTGTCAGCATCTTTCATATTGACGGGGGTGGTTTGGCACTGGTAATTCTATCAAGCGTTCTACCTGTTACCTATTTCTGATAAAAAAAGTTGTCCGGTTTTGGGTCTAAATGAGGCATCATCCATCTTTGACAGCTATGTTCTGTTTTGTCGCTCTCCATCCATATGGAGGAGCTACTGGTTTATGCTGTACCGCTGCTCTTGAGAATTGATCTGTCTAGGTCGTATGATTTAGGCAATATCACACGTACAAAGGGCAGTGACATGATTTTTTCAGCCTTGAGAAATAATCGATGAATTAATTCTCTATCGGGATTGAATTGAGCCGAGTGCTTTTTACCCAAAACATGCATTTTTTTTTCATATATGAATGCTTTGGATAAATACACATCTGGCTTGGAAATGTCCTAGGTTGATCATTTGCTGCTGCTTGATTGCTAGTTATTACGGTTGAATTTGTTTCCAGGATATGCAAGAGTTTGGTACCTACTTCACAGTTCACACTCTGGAAAAAAAGAAAAAAATTGATTGTAATCACTAGCAATCGCTTATTGTTGTTTCTTGAGTTGTTTATTGTTAATCGTAGTTCTCAAACTGGTGCCATTGGATTTTGCAGTGAGTGAAGATAACACAACCTCAGGTATGGAATTTTGAAAGAATTTATAATCATCTTAGTTTTGGCTGTTAGTCGGGAAGGGCTGTAATATGACCATCCAGTATTGGCCCAAGTCTATTTTGTTAATTTGATCTGTTGACGACATGTTAGGCTTACCGTATTTCTTGTTTCAACATTTTAGGTCAAGTGTTCCCATGAGTGGCGATTGGGCTAATGCATTCTTGCTCATTTTTATGTATATTTTCAACGTATGCATTGCAGGTGGTGGCATTTCTTCATTCTTCAACCGGCAGATCCAGTTTGAGATGCTGCGCCTTGCTTCTAAAGTCTGCAATTGTTCAGCTTCTAACGGAGAAACTTGTATATATCAGAGCTTTCTCATGGTAAATGTGGAACAAATGGGTACGGTGTAGGTAGCTGTATCGGTTCATGCATTGTATGAGTGTGCAAGTTGTGTACTGCAATTTTCTGGGTAATCATCTACGCATTGCTAGTTCCTTTTCATTAGTGGTGAAAATTGAGAAAAAAACCATTCATCAGTTAGTCCATGGGCACTGGGGCTCCCCAGTTTTAACATTTACGGAATATTCACATTCGTATTCTTGATCGGTGGATCTAACATTCGTATTCCCAAATGTCCGCCATTCGCATTTTCTGCTCGTTCAAAGTAGATGTAAGATTCCAGTTAACATTTAAGCCCTTCTTCTGAAATTATCAGAAAGGGGGAAAATAAATGTTTTAGGTATAACCTATTAACCGATATTGCGCCAAGAGTTATAATTTAAACCAGCTTCATCTGTTTTGAAAATCTGTCGACGAGAGAATTCTTCAAAAACTTAGAAACCATGATACAGAGTTACGATCCTAAAGAACAGATCCTGTTCAAGTAAAACTCGAAAACCTGCTTAGAGTAAGAAGTACCGGGAACACCACACTGCAACCAAAGCAAGTATATGCACTCGGGGATGAAAAGAAAGAGCAAATGAATTCTCATGCGGAGAACAACACGGTGAAGGCAGTTCAGACTGCCGTTGCCTGGACTGATCACTTTCACAGGACTGTGACTACAGGAATAGCTAAAGCTACCGAGGCTGCATTTTTCGACCATACATGAGGGGCATCACGTATTCCTTTGCAGAGCTTCCTATGGAGATCTGAATGCTTTGTGAAGCCGGTGTTGTCTGTAACCACAAGTCGACTAAGTTATGCAGCTGCAATGTCGGAACTATTGGGTTACCGCGCAATGTGACCTCCACCTGCATTAGGCATCAAGTGAAACTCAGTATCAAATATAGGCATATGTACCAAGGCAGATTATCACCAACCCAAATTACCCAAAATCTCAAGTGAACAGTATGCAGTGATGGACAAATCGAATATCTCTGATTCACTTCTTTTCTTTTCTTTTCGAGAAATAAAACAGATAAATTTGGTTTTGTTGCAGGACAATGTTTCTTCATTTTCGATATAAGAAAAACGCTTCTCGTCTCCTTTTCTTCACCATCTAAGTTCTAAGTTTCATACATGCACAAAAAGCAGGAACTGAAAAGGGATAAAGATGATGTCACCTCATCCTCGCTGGTAAGATTCAGCTTTTTCACCAGATACTTTTTTATGAAAGAAGCGGGTAAGCTACCATCCCTAGAGAATTTCGAGAAACAAAACCGAAGTTAGTGTCTGCCCTACAAGATATTACACGAAAAAAAGTACACTAGACAATGCCGGAAAATGGTAAGAGAGCATTTTCATCTAATGGTCAGTTCAGTCCCACAGAATTAATTTTGTGTACTCCTGCCATGAATAATCCCTAAATGTTAGAAGGGCACATTCATTCTTCAAACAGGTCTGAAAAATGTTCCTAAACGACGATCCATGGAAAGCCAGTACAGTTTTGTAACAACTAAAAATGGAAAGGATATTTCTTTTGTCCTTCAAAAACATGTGGCATCTGGAAAATGATATATTTTGTAAAAGCCAAAAAAGCTTCATAAATGCATATCATATGTTGCAGAATTGCAGTAACAAAAGATTGCAGTAGAAACAAATTTCATTTTTTGTGATACCAGAGCAGTATCTTCATGTTATCTAAACACCATAGGAAGCCTCTTAGATAATTGAGTTGAGCATATCATGAATCACGAGCGAAAAATCAAATTGCTTGTAAGATATGATCTATTGCCATGAACTTTACATCGAGACTGAAAAATTCATAGTGCAGGGAAAGATACAATTAAACAACAAGACTTCCATTCCGACAACCAAAATGGTGAGGGATCAGCAAAAACAGTAAATGCAAGAAAATACAAGGGCATGAGGTTAATGAAACTTACTTGACTCTCAAGTAACATGAAGGTAACTGCGGCAATGGTGGAAAGCCTTCCCTGCAACAATCAATTCAAAAGTGTTAAACTCAATACATGAAGAGGGAAAAAACAACCAAAATCAGTTATTGGTTTAAGCTAAGGAAACAAAATCTCACTGGTGATTGGAAGCAAACAATGAGAACCAAATTGGACGTAATATTCTGTCACATCTATTATTTGCATCAACCAAAGATTGTGCTGGAATATTGAGTCCCTCAGGTACAGCTAGTTTTCTTTTGCGGCCACGTTGTGGTTTCCTAAAACTCCCTGAACCCGATGGAGCAGGATTAGATTGATTCACACTTCCACCGACTTTGGATTTGTTACCATATTCCATAATGGGCTTCACCTCACGTGCTCCATTGTTGAGCGCATCAGGCAACATTGGTTCGGAAATAGGAAGTTGCAGTTGCAGATTAATCTTATCAGAACTTGATTTTCTTGCCGCTTCAACCAGGCGGTCTAATGGTTTCCAGATCTCAGGTTTCACATCTTCTGGTTGAGAATTGTCCTCCACAACCATGTTAAGCATGTGCTGCTTCGATGATCCCTCAGTAGAGTTCTGCATCAACATAACTCAACATGTTTGAGAGGATAAAAATGGAGAAGCAAATGCATTGAACCGACTATTGTTTTTTCCTCTTTTACCTGTCTGGTATATAGTGTATTTTTTTTCAGTGTCTGAGGTGACTTAAGTCTCTCATGGAAATCTTCCTCTTTCTTTTCAGGCTCCTGAAATGAAGGATACTCTTGTAGAGGAACTCTCCTTCGTGTAGGATACCTTCTTTGTCCACTCATCTCAGGTCTGCCTGATACTTGAGGTGAATTTATCACCAATGAAGAGAGATATTTCTCTTTTCTTTTAGCTGGGATTGGAGCTGAAGACACAGCAGGTGCCTTAACCTTTTTCCTTTTGGACGGAAGTGGGTCTACTTCTATATCTTGCGCAATGTCATCTGCAGGTACCTTGGACTTTCTACTTACGAAAGGAAGCAGCTCTTCTGTTATATCTTGCACATTGAGGTCTGCAAGTGCCTTAACCATTTTTGTTTCGGAGGGAAGGGGCTCTGCCGTTGTATCTTGCACATTGTGGTCAGCAGTTGCATTGACTGTTTCTGTGTCAGGACGGAAGATCTTGCCTGTTATACTATCCCAAAGGGGGTCTGCCCTGCAGACAAGGAAATAAAAAAAAAGACTAACGTAAAACAAACACAGATATTAAAAGTAACCTTTCCATATCAGCAATCTAGGAAACCCTCATCAAATGTGAACCTGCTTGCCACTGTATGTTTGCTCATCAAGAAATTTCAAAAAATGGTAACTAAACGTTGAATGTAATGAAAAGCGGAAGTGTAAATAAAAAGAAAACTACACTTTGCATCTGTCCCTTGCTGAATACACAATATCCTTCCCAGCACAGCAGTTGGTCTGAACAACTGGTTCTACACAAAATTATAGTAGTTAAACTGTACGCTTTTCAATTTATCCGGTGTCGTACTACTAATTAAATAGTTTGTGCATCAAATCTTTCTTTGGTAACAAAGTACGCGATCAATAATCCAATTTACAGTATAACCATTCTTCTAGCATGCTATAAAATTAGAACATGAATGACTAACCGATGTTTAAACATTTATAAACATAGGACTACTATTGATGATCAAATTCAAATACCTGAGTTTTTCCAATGGAGCAACCCCTAAATAAGTATTGCATTTTGGACAGCAGTCCAACTCTTCGTCTACTATCTTTGAGTATATGCACTTCTTGCAAACTGTTCTCGAAACCAAAAGAGACCAGTCACATATTTGATTGATAGAAGAACAACCAATATGCAGCTCAGATGATTATACGAGAGATTGAGGTAAATAAAACACAGAATGCAGCTTACTCCATATTATTCAGATAACCATACTATTCAGATAAATTTAGACAGAAATTAAGACGGTATGGGACGAATGAGCGAAGAAAGATAACAAAAAATGTGGATTACCAAACAGTGTTCCGGTGAAACATAAGAAATAACAGGAGTCTAATATGTGATGGAAAATAGAGATAGTGCTTCTTTGGAAATATAATTGCCAAGTAAATTCGAAAAACTTAGCCGCAACTCTTTGCTATTAGGTCTTGTCTTGTCCAGTGCAGAATAGTGAAACGTGACCAAGATATTAACACTACATAAATTTATAGACCATGCAACCATGAAGTCCAAGTCGTTCATTACACATATGTAAGGAAATAGCAAACAATGATCAGTAGTTTGACATATTTCAAAAGGGAGTTGTTACTGACACTCCAAAATGCTCATCATGACCTTATAGACATGCTTTCCTCTTATGTTTTTATAAGACATAACGCATAATAATATTTTTGAAGTGCTAATTATAGTTTCTTCAAAAAAAACTTAGAGCCAAAACGCAAATTGAATAAAAACCCCGATCACGAAAACGTAACAACAAAGAACCCATATCGAGGAAAGGAAGAACTTCAAGAAAGAAACATGAAATCCGATTAAAAAAAAAAACATAATATTGGATGAAACATGAAGAGGGAGAGAGAGGGTACTGACATGTATGAAGGCATTCACATATGGTAGTGGCCTCGCAGTAGTGCTTCTCGCAGAGTGGACATGTCACGCATGCTTCGATCTCCCTTCTGTTTCTCTTGACCACCGGACCACTCATGTCAACGAACACAAACCAGTGCAGTTCTACTCTCTTTCTTTAACTATTCTGCAACTCACGTACACCTGGTGCATGTTACCTTCAATATTCTTGACCAGAAAAATCAAGAAACAGGAAAATCACCGAGAAATCGAGCACGCAAACAAAACCTAGTACGGGTTTTCTTGACTCTATGTGGTGGTGAATGATGATAGCTATTGGGACGTGTTTGGTGGGCGAGAAAAAACAGACGGAAAACACACCAAAAACAGAGTGGATAGAAATTTTGGAGTATTCGAAGAGGGTTCTTGTTCGATTTGGACAATGGGATTGGGGTTGGATTGATGATCTGTTCGAGGCACAACAGCTACAATCTCACCTCCTCCCAAAAATCATAAAGCAAAAACAAACAAACACGAACGCGCGCATGAAAAACTATAACTATGCGTGAGTTTGCTGAAACAGACAGAAATATACATAACAAATCCTAAGGCGTCATGGTAGGATACGCTGGCGGTGTTTATGGGCTTAAACTACGCCCACAAGTTTTATTTTGTGAGTGGATGTTTTCATGTTTTTGGGGTTTTATGGGTTTGTTTCTAAACTTTCTATTTTTCTAAATTCCATCGGAACCAAAAACCAAATAGGGTTTTATTTCCTTTGTTGCCCAATTTTCACTTTTAAGTTTCCCTTGGGTTGCAGGATGTCACACTATTATGAAATGGTATTTACGTATAATTGGAAAGTCCTAATCCTAATAGTAATCGTTAGCGTTCAAATATGAGGAGACTGGGGGAAGAAAAATCCTGCATTTTTATGCTGCCAACAAAACAATATATATTAATTTGTGTGTGTTTAGTTTGTGATTTTGAGGAGTAAACTTGGTTCATTGTATCACCAACACAGATTAATCCACTCGAAAGAATACCTAATGTACAACGTTCAATATCTAATTAATCCACACCAAAGATACAGCAATATTATCCTACCTGCAAAATCTATTTCCGGGAAACTATTCTTCTACCAAATCCTTGTTATTCCTTGAAAAAAACTGTTTCAAGTATTGAACAAAATAAAGGAAAGTGATAAGAGGAGCAGCATTTCTTTAAAATTTGATGGGTGTGAGAATAGTGGCACTACTGATATAGGTAGTGATTTTCACACTTTAATTTTCTCATTCTATGTTTAATTCTTCTTTGATTTATTCAATCTAATTCTTAGAAAAATCAAAAAGGGCTGAGAGAGAAAGGGAGGTGTAGAAATCATTTCCCATGATATAGATAGTTTCCTTTTATATTTTAACAAAGACTTATAAAAAGTGTTCCACAACATGAATTGTGTTTTGGATATGGTTGCATTGTGGTAGACTAGTTATCATAGATTTGAATGACTTGTGTAGCTCGGACAATTTTTATCAAAATTCTTTGAGTTATCACACAATTTAACATGTTATGTGATCAACTAAATAATAAATGTTACGCATTTAAATATATATATTTCTTCCACTTATGCAACACTTAGCTATAATCAACAATGTAACATGACAAACTATGACTTAAAACTACTCAACTTCTAACTCATTAGCAAAACAAACTAAACATCTGAATTTTAAGGACATGTTTGATACTCTACTTTAATTCAACTTTTTGACTCAATAACACTTAAACTTTGAATATTTGTTTGGTAAGACTGTTTTTAACAATTGAACTCGAAACTAACTTAAAAATTAGCATATTTCTAGAAAACATAAAGTGAGTTTTTAGAGTTTTTTAAACTCTAAACCCACTACTTTCTCTCTTCACTTCACTTACTTCTGATCATTTCTCTTCTTTCTGATCTGATCATCTCTCTCCTCCCCTTCGAATCTCTCTCCTATTTCTCTCTCCTCTTTCTTTCTCATCTCCTTTTCATGCGACCCTTTCTTTGGATCTCTCGAATCAACGGGGAGTTGCTGAAGATTGTCTTTATCTTTTTAATTACTAAATTTTAAAAATAATTTTAAATTTCATACCAAACAAATTTTTGAATGTACCAAACAAGCCCCAAAATTTTATGCCAATAAGTCAATTAAATATTGAGCGGAAAAATATGTGGAAAACATGAAAAGTACAGCAAGATTAAAATGAAGAGTGAAGCGGGTAAATTTGGTCTTTACTCTTTAGCCAATAGATACACTTTGTCTATTTGAACAAATATTTCTTTTTTACCTCATGTGAAAAGAAAAAGAAAAAAAAAAGAGAGAAATTGATAATTAGGATGCAAAAGCGGGACGGTTATGAATGCAAATGTAAATCATGCAAGCGTTTTGGTTACATGCAGAGACAAATGTGCGTCCAAGTGGCAGCCCACTGACTCATATTTGTCGGCCTCCGGTTCAGAGCTGACCGAATCCTCTCGACTTAATTTCACCTCACTAACCATGAACAAAGAAAGATTTATGTGTGTTGGTTAATTATAATTAGAATTCATAAACCTTTTTTTTTTTTTTTGCTGAAAGAAAGAAATATATCAATATATATAAGGAATTCACTAAAAATAGAAACGAAAAGGAGGTTTTGCGATAGGAAATTGAATCAAATAATCAGATGATTATCTTCTAATTGAAATTGAACCATGGGGAGGCTATAGCCAGATCTTGAGTGTTATGAGGAAATTCGATGTTTTTTTTTTTTTTTTTTTTTTTTTTCTCCGCAGAAAAATTAAAAAAAGAGTAATTGAATTTACTGTTTTTTTTTTTTTTTCCCAAAAATTTTTTAAAATCATTTTGGGGGAATCATCTTTTGATGACTTTGCAGCCAAAATAACACAATGCAAATCTTGATGTGAAAGTTAACAAGAAAGGAGTCTTGGAGGACATGCAAATCTAGTTCAAGATCTTCCATATCTATGTTTTTTTTACTATTGACACACGCCTACAAACATAAGGAGGAAGAGGTGTAGATTTACCTAACTTTGAATCAATTTCTCGTCCTTCTGCCTTCGCGTCTTGTTATGGTTTACGCTCTGCTTATCACTCTGGATCCTTTCAGACTGGAAACCATTTACCCTATTCTCATCACTCTCGATCCTTTCAGTCCTGCTATGTTTATCATTTTCTTTTTTCAGGTTTGGTGAATGTATATAAGCGCTTTTTTGACCGGAAAACTGGATACGTTGGATGCTACGTGTAACTGATTTGGTATGTAAAAGACTCTTGTTTTTGTAGATTCTAACAACCAATTCATGTTGTTGTCAATCCACTAGTTTTTTTTTTAGTCTTCACCTTATTGAAAGAAAATGATAAGTCTAAATTTAATGAATGGGGCTCGGTTGGAAAAAAAAAAAAAAAAAAAAAGAGAAAGAAAGAAGCAAACAAGAAGCAATGTTGTTCTTGTTTCGTTTTGGATCACAAATGCTATTATACACAATCTACCCTTAGGGAAAGGGAGAGAGTTGGAACTCAGGACACAATGGGTTGAACAGGAAGGCTCTAGCTGTGTATGCAATTTTTCACCAAGGGTAGATTGACGAAATCACCCCTCCAAAACAATCAACACTGTTAGGCTAATGACAAACACCCAAGCAAAGGGGGAGTGTGTCCACCAAAGGGCATTCGATGTTCAAGTTAGAAATAGTTTGAGGGAAACTGAACTTGATAGAGTTCGAAGTAGTAAATGACGATTACCGATGGGAGAGACTCCTCGTTGGCAACCTGACAATAAGGTTGCATGCCATGCTAGACTAACCTGAATGTTCTACCATGATTGTGCTGATGTGAAACCCCGTTCTTGTATTTCACTATTTTAAATTTCGTAATTTCTATGTAGGTGAATTTATTTTTATTAATTTGAGAAATTTTAGTTGACTAGGTACAACGTTTATTTTTACTTAATTAGTCATTAAAATTCAAAAGATCTTTCGGGGTCACACTAAGTATATTTGGATAGAGCTCAATGCCACGAAAACCGTTGGCGAAACGAAGTTATAAGGAAGGAGAAATAAGTGAACAAAGGCAGGGGCATTTTAATAACTTGGAACTTCTATATTTAGGAAAGCCAACTCGCTAGTTGACCTAATTTCCCTCCCCGACTTAGTTACTGACCCGTTTTCCTACAAAAAATTTCGATGTCGATTCCGACATTTTCCCGGCAAATAGATCTCATCCCAAGGATTATTTTTCACCCAATATTTCCTTCATTTAACCACCATTCTTAGGAATCAAGGCTCGAGTTTTTCGAGTGTTCGACGCCTAAGATCTACCTCATCCGTTCACCTCAACGCCAAACAGCACCACCGACTGATTCACCGTGACCCTAGCTACAAAACCTGAGCTTTGGTTTGGAAGTTCGAGCTCTAACGAGTCCAAGATGAAGGTACACCCATTCTCGGATCCAATGGCTTCCTGATGAATTTTAACGCTTTCCGACCAAATTCGCACTCTGGCAAAGGTATGAAGATTTTTGTATAGCTCACAAGCTTCATTTTGACAAATTATGAGTCAACTTTGGTATTGCCTGAATTCTGGGGAGTCATGGGCCCCCGCATGCAATGATGCGTTAGTCTAATGACCCACTTTGTCTACGTATGCTAATTTAGATACTCTGAATCTGTTTAATGAGATCCAATTGTTTGGCCCCAATTTTGTAAATGGCTGCCACTTAACCTTTATGGTAGGTGGAGATCCGACATTTGGATCATCATAAAACTTCAGTATGTCATGCGTATACTTTAGGATCTTAAGAATTATAGATAGGAAATCCAATGCTCGGATTTTCCTAATTAGAATATTAAGGTTTACAATCTAGACGGGGACCGCTTGATTGAGGATTCATTTTTTATCAACATGTCATGATTCCTTCTTGAATGCTGAATTAGCATTGATAGAGACCCGATAAAGCGTAGTGGGCTTACTTGGCTTGCGTGTCATCTCAAGAGTTGTACACCTCGGTTTGTGTGTAAGGGTATCTTACTGAGATTTATGTGTTTGCTGGACTTCTAAATGAGTGTATTGGAAATGGATGATTGCCGATATGTGTTGATAAACCGGGGACCATATTAGAAATATATCATAGAACGTGTAGGTCTGTGTGGTTAGATATTA